TTTTTTTTTTTTCTTTTTTCTTTTTTCTTTTTTTCCCTCTCTTTTCTTTCTTTCTTTCATTTTTTCCCTTCATTCCTTTTTTTTCATTTACAAATTCATACATCACATTGTGCTTCATTACAAATTAACAAATATTATTAATTTCAAGCAGATTTTAAATCTATATTGTTAAGTTAACGCATTTTTATGATGAATGTTTCCAGATATTTTTAACTTACTCCAATTTAATAAACGCCAAAATGGCGCCATTAAACAAAAAAAAAACCCTTTGTTTTTCCAAAACTTTAAAATATAAGTATATTATTATATATTTTATATAATATTATGAATGACAATTGATGTTTCCTTACTGAAAAAAACATTGCGTACTTGAACCCGTTAAAAAGACTAGGTACTAAAGGGGAGAGACCCATATAATATAACCATGTGCGCATGCGTCATTTTAGTCAGGCAACTGCAAAACCGGAAAAAATGACGAGAGCTGGCCCTTGGGTGTCTTGGAGCTGTGGGATAGAGTGTCGATAGTGTGTCTAGAAAAATACGAGGCATTCGCTTTAAAGCCAAGTTTTTGAAATATATCTTAATCTTCAAGTTCTCTGATTTTCTGATCTGTTAGTGAAGGCATATATCCCTCTTTGACTTTTACCAAGCCGTTGAATACAGTTGCTCTTATCTGCAATGTTTTTCGCATGCAACTAGAAAAGGTTGTGTGTAGCAGTGCCTTGTGAGAGGCACACGTCACCTATTCCATTAAACATTGCTGTTCAGGAGGAATTCGTGATGTGTGACTAGTTGATGTAGTTTCACGATTGTTTTGATGATTTAGATATAACTGACAGAGCTAGGAGTATATTCAGAGAGTTAACAAAAATAACTCTTTCAAGTTTTATTGTAACGAACATACCAACATACATAGAAAGACCTTTTCTAAAAATAGAAATGCGCGCAGGACGTTGGACACCAAATTTTTCATTCAACTCACTTTTCTAATCAGGCTGATATCTTTCTCACGAAGTGTTATTCAAMAAATAATCGATGTTGATCAACTGACATAGTAAAGTGGCTCTCTATATGATTTTTAAAATAAAGTCATTGAGATCTTATTGTTGTTCATATTGCTCTTTTTATAATTATCAAATCAATGATAATATTGATTGTTAGATTCTACTCTTGCATAACAGAACATGCATAGCATACATATATAGGACGGTAAATATGCATTCAGGGCCAATGCTTTTCTCTAGAACCGATTTTATAAACAACAGATAAGATAGATCATGTCTCATTAGCCGAATTTACCGAAGAATGTCGACCAATGTGGGTTTCGACTAATTTTGCGAAAACAAGGTCTGATAAACAAGTCAAACCACATGTCATAAATGTTTGAATGTACTTGGCCGGTTGAATATTSGACACTAGTTGTTGGTCTGTCATAAGACATGATAAAGTCTTGATGTTAAAGAGTAAAATGACCAAACAAGTCATTTGTCAGACCAGGTTTGATTTGATGAACTTCTGAAGAAAATAGAAATGATACAACAAATTGCCTTTTATCAACGAACATTATCAGCCACGTACAGAATATATGTTTAATTCTTATTAGCAGTAGGTATATAGTATTATAGTAGTATCTATTAGTGTTTATTTGGAAATTATTTATTAGTTAGCCACAGTTTGTATAACAGTAGAATATGATTGAGCTCAAATTAATCTTGAATTTGCATCATGAAATCTTTGCGTTAATATTGAGTTCATTCGTAGAATAACAGGTCAGTACAGTACTTCATGGATGCAGAACAACGATTCCTCAAGACATGAAGTATTTGCAAGGTGTCTCACATGACGTACCACTGCACGAGCGAGAATTACGGTTAGTACTTCATGTAGTCACAAGGTGAGTTACCAGGAAAGAACGGTAATCCCATCAAGTATCCCATGACGTTTCATCCCATAGCACAATCCACAACTGTAGACGTGTTCTTAGTACATTTCATACTTGGTTTCGCATGGTTTTTCCCGGGGATTGTAAGCAAAAACTAAAGGAAATCACTTGATAAGTTACTTTGGTAGTCATTGTCAGATAACAGTAGGACACTGAAAGTGAATGAAATAGTGTCAAGATACTGTAGACTAGAAATGGAGAAGGAAATCTGCTGACATTCAAAAACTCTTTTAATGATGACGAAATTTAAGTTCCTAAAGGTTTTGTTTTGAAGCCTTTTAAGATAACATAATTTATTAGGATTAGCTTTCTCGACGTTTCGACACTCACCAATGTCATTATCAAGTTAGAGTGATAAAGTAGCTACATATTTATTTTTAATCTTTCAAACTGGTAATAGTCTGATGATAGTCAAGTATATTTGTCTTATTGATAAGGTTTATATAATAATATATTTTCTAAGTTGACTTTACTTAGTGAGACATGTCAGTCTTGTAATTTGTACCTGACAACTTTCCCTCATCAGTTTGCAGAGATCAAATCTGGAACTGAAGGAGATATTGTTGGAATTGTTTACAAGACTATATTATATGATGTGTCACTTTGATGATCTGAGACAGAAACAAGTTGGAATCAAACCAACTCATCTGAAAGCATTTCAAGACATGATTTTGTGAAAAAGAACGAAGATGGTGGTTCATCACTTTTACAGAGATCAAATCTACAGGTGAAGGTGGTTCTGTAAGACTATATTGGGTTATTTTACTTTGGCTTGCAGTTGTGTTGAATCTTGGATAAAAAAACTCATGTCAAAGGTCTTGAAGACAGTGTGTTTATGAAATTCTAGAATATAACAAAGATGGCGGTTTATCTTTTCTACAGAGATCAAATCTGCGTATGAGGACTTGATTGCTCTTGTTGTCCTCGACAACCTCACATTTACAACAGGTCTATCCTTCTTACTTTTTCTAGACATTACCATGTTTCAGTTACTTGGAAAAAAGTCAGTTCAAAGTTTTACGCGAGTACTATTACGAGATATAGAGAATATTYACAATAGTCTTAAAGACGTTCTTATTACTATACATTAGATATTCCAAATATCATACTGTTAAAACAGACCATACTGGCTTTTTATTGGTACACAATATACACCCAACAACCAATTCAATGGTTGGTAATTTTCAGGCGAGGTATTAAATCCGGGGAACCTGGAGATAAACCTCGTCGAAAAAATAAATATTAAGCTCAGCTCACATGTGGTGCATGCAGGAATCGAACCAGGGACCCGATCCATGAGTACCAAAGCAGTGAGAGACAAACATTTTACTGATGCGTCACCCATTACACATTCGTGGGTTCTCTTGTTTCTGCGCGAGGTGATGACGTCATGTGCTTATGTCAACCACTCATATGACAGCTCAGTCTTTACAGATAAGTTTTATTGAGGACACTGAAAAGTAGAGATTAAAGTTGTTAATTTTTGGGAAACACGGAATTTTTTTAGAAACGTTCCTTCGATGCACAGAAGAGAACAAATATACAATCTTGGTCATCCGTCGGAAAAGCGAGCAAACTTCCCGACTGATAAATACACATAGATTCTTCGTTCAACAGTGAATCGAATAAAAAAAAGAGAGTATTCTTTGCGTGTAAATCGTATTTTATTTTCTGGATAGCCAGGTTAATTCTATAAAATATGTATTTACTTTTGAGTTTCGCAGTTTAATATATGTTTAATGCAAGAGACACCGAATAGGATTCTAAGTTGAGGTTTGGAATGTTTCCAGTTCAGCAGAATTCCCCTCCTCATGTCTACTTACTTGAACACCGTTTTCATTGTCCTTTTGTTGTCTTTCAATGGCTTCTAAAGTCGTTCTCAAGTGGTTTTCTATGGTTTTTGGTTACAACCCTCGGTAGCCATGGAAACCAAGCATGAAAATGCACTGGAATTACAAGTTCTAAAATACAGGAATTGTTTACTTAAGTTTTTACGTTTTTTTCCTTCCTTCCTTACATTTATCAACTTCACATTCACTTTCATCCACACATACCTTTACTCTTATGCATCTTTCCTATCATGCTCTTTCACTTTCTTCCCTTTTCTCTCATTCTCTTTTACTTGCACAAAGACATCTACACTCCAACACATATTTCTTTCCATTAAATCTTGCATTTTTTGTTTCTCATAAATTACTCCTTTCCAACTACATTTTATTCTCTCCCATTTCCATTCTTCCATCTTTACTCCTCTTTCCTTATTTTCATTCTTTCCACGACTGAAATCACCAGAGTACAAT